GTGTATATCAGTATGTAGTGTCTCTACTTTAAAGAGTCTTCTCCTGCTGATGTTCAGGTGTATATCAGTATGTAGTGTCTCTACTTTAAAGAGTCCTCTCAGGCTGATGTTCAGGTGTGTGTCAGTATGTAGTGTCTCTACTTTAAAGAGTCCTCAGAGGCTGATGTTCAGGTGTGTGTCAGTATGTAGTGTCTCTACTTTAAAGAGTCCTCTCCTGCTGATGTTCAGGTGTATATCAGTATGTAGTGTTTCTACTTTAAAGAGTCCTCTCTTGCTGATGTTCAGGTGTATATCAGTATGTAGTGTCTCTACTTTTTACTGAAGTACATTTCAAAGCTTCTTTACTTTTACTTGAGTAAAGAAGTTTAGTCAGTACTTCTACTTTCACCAGAGTATTTTTAAACACGAGTATCTGTTCTTCTACTTGAGGAAAGGATGTGTGTACTTTAGCACTCTGGATCTGATTATCCTCCCTCTTGTCTCACCTGAGACCACAGCGTCTCCATTGAGGAACAGAGTGAGTCCCACCAGCATCAGGACCCCCAGAGCCAGGATGTACGGCCTCCGGCGGCCCCACGACGAGCGGCAGTAGTCGCTTGCGCTGCCGATGATGGGCTGCAGCAGGAAGCCCAAAATGGGGCTGATCAACCACACCAAGCTGTACAAACTCCGAGGAAGACCCACGCTCAGAAGCACCGGCGTGACGAAGGCGGCCTCCACGGCGTAACAGAACTCCCGTCCAAACATTACCGTGGCGTGGAGAATTAGGCGTCCTCTGGAGTGCCTGTGTGGCTCCACGGCTCCAAAGACACCACTTTCCCCACTTTCCATGAAGGTTTCTTTGGTGAAGTCTGTCTGTGGGTACAGGGAAGAAGTGATGTGTTTACCGGCCTCTGGGATTCTGCAGGGCTGAGAACTCACAGACTGGTCCTCTGATAACAGGGTCATGGCTGGAAGAAAAGGGGGAGAAAGAGGTGAAAAGGAGATGAGAAAGAGGGGAAGGAAGGAAGGAAAGTGTAGGTGAAAAGAAATGGAGAATAGGGTCCGCCAGCTGATGAGGAAACGTCAAATGCTTCGCTCAGTTTGAGCTAATCCGCCTCTCTTTCTACTGCATAGCTGAGCAACCAGTCCACAAGGATTTACTCCAGGTTCAAGAGCACTGAAGACCAAAAGGGAAAAGGGAGGAGAGAGAGCAGGGGGGAGTATTTAAGGATTACTGAAGGGCTCTTCCCCTTTTTGAGATGTTTCAAAGTGCTGTAGTAAAGGCCTGAGGCGGCTCATGTGAGTGTGTGAGGGATTACATGCGTGTGTGTGTGTGTGTGTGTGTGTGTGTGTGTGTGTGTGAGAGAGGGTCATCTCTTCTTTTGTTTTGCTACCCATGATCAACCACAACAAATACTTTGTTACTGTTCTTCAGTACATTGTTCTGGTATCAGTACTTTACTGCACTACTTATTTTTCTGACTACTTTCTACTTCTTACATGTTGAACCCAAATACCTGTACTTTCTACTTCTTACATGTTGAACCCAAATACCTGTACTTTCTACTTCTTACATGTTGAACACAAATACCTGTACTTTCTACTTCTTACATGTTGAACCCAAATACCTGTACTTTCTACTTCTTACATGTTGAACTCAAATACCTGTACTTTCTACTTCTCTCATTTTCCAAACAGGCTGGTTCCTTTAGTCTGAATGTGTGTTTGGTGGCGTGATCATTATTATTTAGAGTCATT